GTTTGTGTACCTGTTACATCCTGAAAGAAACGTTTTGTTTGTTTGTCAATAAATTTTGGTGGATATTTGTTTAGCAAGAGCATGATCCTAATCTTATCAAATTCTACTTGTAGATCTTCTGGATGGGAGCATATGCGTGCGGCTCTTAGTGCCGCTGTATATGGGATGTTTTTAGTCACATGTCGAGGATGCGAAGAGTGAAATGGTAGTACATATGGCTGTGCCGCTAGTTTTCTGAATACCGTTGTTTTAAAATTCGGGATTTCTATCTTGATCGTTACGTCTAAGTAATCAACTGTCGTTCCGCCTTCCCATGTTATTTTTAGATTACAATCTTTTTCATGTAATTCTGATAATTGTCTTTCTATCTGTTGTTTTGATAGTACTGTGGTAATGAATACATCGTCCCTAAATCTAAAATATAATTGTCTTTGTTGGTTTTGTTGTCTTACGAAATCATCCTCCCACTTTCTCACATATGTGTCGGCAAGCACTTGAGTGCAGGCCGAGCCCATGGCTCCTCCTCTTATTTGTTGGTAGAATTTAGGTTTCATTCCTGGTAGCTGCAATGTGAAATATGCATTCTCTAGTACGTGTAGGAACATACTTTTTATAGTGTTAATCGATATACCGTGAACTTTTCTATATCCATTTCTTCCGAGAAACTCACATACTGATAGTACTGCTTCCTTTTGAGGAATCATGGTGTATAAATCTGTGATGTCGAATGTGTAAATACTAGTTTCTGTTGTTGTTTTAAATTCCTTTACATATTTTAAAAATTCCATCGAGTTAGAGAGTGCATAGTCAGTGTGTTTGTCGAAGAGTGGACGTATGATTCTATCTAAGTAACTGGATAGTTTGGCCAACGGGGATTTCATTCCACTTACTATTGGCCTTAGCGGCTCCCCTATCTTATGGTCTTTCGGATTTTAATACAAATGTGGTAGTTCTGATTCAGTTTGAGATGGTCGTAGCTTTTCCATTATATATTGTGGTATCTTTTTATCTTTGACTAAGTTTCGTAAAAATCTATCCGTTTTTTCTATTATTTCTTTCAATGGAGATGCTGATATTTCTATATATGCGTTAGTTTTAGTCATATAAGTCATAGATTTTTCTATATAGTTTGTTGGATTATCGACATGGAAAACCTTTGATTTATCTGTTTGTCTGAACATTACCTTTTTCTGTTTTTGAATTTTTTGAAAGAAAGCTATTGCCGGTTTTAGAGTGGAGTCTTTTGGTTTCTCCGTTTCCACTATTTTTCTGATTTCTTGCTCTATCCTTCCACAGAATTTTTTTACTATTAGTGGTTCTCTCTCTATTGTTTTAGTTGTTCTTCGTCATGCTGCTGCCACTTTTTCTTTCATATCATTTATTTCCTTGGGGAGACGTTTTAGAACTTGTTGAGGTGATGGTGGAACAAATTTTGGTCCTAGATTTAGTACTTTAGCCTCTGTATCTTGTAAGATAAGAGTTTTATTATTTTCTTGAGGTGGAAAACTTATGCTAGTGAAATGTGGATGTAGTTTCGATCTCGGATGACCTGGGTGATGATGGGATAGGGCGTACACTAGTTTACGTTCATTGTGTACGCCCTTTTTGCTAAAAAATTCAATTTCTTTCTTGCAAACTGATTGTGCCTTGTTTCTGATACATGCTTTAATGTTTCATATGATTCTCGGAGAGAATCTGAAAGTGAGTGCTTTTCTAATAACTCCTTGTACTCATTTCTTGCTTGCTCTAATTCTGCTTATTTTGCTTGTCTCATTAATGTTGTTAGATCTAATTTCGTTTTTCTAAGAATATTTTTCCATTGTTCTCGAAGTGTACTCAAGTATATATTATTTTGTTTAAGTCCCTTAGCATATAGTTTTATTTTATCGAAAATGTTGAGAGACGGTGGTGGCATGTTTTCTACGAATCTCCTCTCAAGTTTATCTAACTGTAGCTTGAGATCTAATGACCTCATAAATTTTTCATGTACAATTTGTATATGTTGTTGTTCTTCTAGTGTTCCTATATTTTTTATTTGTCGAGCAGCTTTCTCTCTCCTTTGATCGAGTAGAAGATTGTCTAATCTTCGTTGATCATTGTTCTTTTTGTTTGCAAGTGGCTTTTCTACGATGTTTATTATTAAAGAAATTACTTTCGTTCGTAAATGTTGAGCAAATGATGTTTGTAATTTTATTTCTCTCTCTTGTTCTAGTTGTTTATATTTATTTTCTAGAAATTCTTGATGCATTCTTATTGTATTATATGTACATTTTTTATTTTGTTTTTTGAAATAATATCTACATTCTATTGGTATGATTACGAAATCAAATGATTCATTCATTGTTGTTGCTATAGGTTGTTTTGGTATTACCGATGGTGATTTAATTAATTGCTCAGGTGTAGAACTTTGTAATGGTGATATTGCCATTGAACATTCTCTAGCTACAATAGCTATAGACGATTCCATCTGTTGCCGTTCTTTCTCTTGTTCTGTTTCTTCTTTTTCTCTTGGCAAGAGTACATTGAAAGATTGTTGTCTATGAGTACTTGATATTTTTTCATCATTACTATTTAAAATTAGTGATGATTGAAGAGATCTCATTCTTAGTGGAACATTACTATTTCTTGGTGGTAATGTTTTTCTTGGTATTATTGGTGGAGGTTGCCGTGGTGGAGGTGGTGTTGGTGGATCATCCTGTCGATGTCCCAATTTTCGTTTTTGACCTGGTACTGGTTCTGGTAACCATTCATCAAATAATTCAGAAAACTCACTAAAATCTAGTGGCGCAGGTGGTTCTGCTAGCCCAGAGAGAGATGGTCGTGCTATTGGTAGACTACTATCATTATTATCTATTAGAATACTTTCTATTTGATTCCTGGATTGTATTTTATTTCCTGTTGCTGCTCTCATATAGATTTTCCATTTTTCCGATTCAGATTTAAAATATTCTGTTTGAAAATGTAGATTACTTAATTGAAAAATACTATCTTTTTCATTTTCTAGTTCTGTTGGTATTGTGATTTTCCGAAAAAATTCTTCTTTATGTCTTAAAAGATGAGGATAATGAGAAATCAACACATTACGTGACATTAGATTATATTTTTGTTTCAATGTAAATTGATTATTTCTGTTGTTGTTGATTTGTTGTTGGTGTTGATGGTGCTGCTGCTGTTGTTGTTGTTGTTTTGTTCTTTCATATATTTTTTGTCCATAACGAGGTTTATTATTATCATCGTTATTATTATTATGGTTGTTGTTAATAAATTGAATTGTTGGTTGTATTGTTAGTGGTTTGTTGTATTTTTTTGATGTTGGTTGAGAAATATTATAATTATTCATGTTTGTTGTTGTTGTAGGTATATCATTATTGTTGAGAATATTATTATGACCAGTCTCCAAATGAGGAGAAAATTTTTTATTTTGTTTGCATAGCCAGTTATATAATGCTTTTTCAAAAAGTATACGACCTGATTGAATAGCTGGATGAAGACCATCTTGATGCATATGTTGATGTTGAAGATTTGCGTTGATAACCTCGAAATTCATTTGTTTAGATAATATTTGTAAAAGTTGATTGAATTTTTTATTGATCTCATCAATGCTTGAAGAATTATATAATCTTGATGGTTTTGATCGTGGTGAAAGAGCAAGCCACCCAATAGCTTTTATTTTTGGGAATAATTGTCTTGTTCGTTGTATTAAATAACGACAGTGTTCAATAACTTGATTTAATTCCAAATAGGAAACATCATTTGTACATAAAGAGAAAATAATAAAATCGACATTAAATATTTGACTTTGTTCAATGTTTTGTTGTTCTAAAAATTCCAGCATCCGACTGCAATTGCAGCCAGATTCAAATGATATATTAATCTTCATATTAGGTGGACTAATTTTATCCACACGAACATATTTGCACATAGAATCGGACAGAATTAATACATGATGTTCATTTATTGCTGTTGTTGTGGGTAATATGGTATGATGATGATGTTGGTAAGTGTTTTGAGTTTCTTTATAATATTGTTGAGCATAATATAAACTTCGTCGATTTTTTCGTGGAGGTTGTTGAAAACGATCAATTGACATAAGAGCTGGTATTTTTATATTATTATTATTATTGTTCATAGTGTTAAAAGATTTAATGTTATCATTTTTTCTATTGTAATTATTAATATTTTTATAACTTGATATGTAAGTGTAGCCAGAGAATGTAGTTGTTGAGCCAGTTTGAAATTTTTTATAAGGATAATTATTCTTACGTTGTCCAGCATCATAAAGATTATATTTTGGATTAACATTTGAACGTAAATTGATATAAGATGATGTTGTTGTTTTTGTTGTTAATGGAACTGGATGAATTGTAGACATATGTGTAGGATGAATATTCATATTTGAAGTAGTAAATTTTGCATTCATGTTGACTCTTTGAGCGAACATATATTCTTGGTTATGGTTCGACAAATATGTATATACAGCATGATTACGTTATTTTTAATAGTTTTGTGTAGTTTACTGTATTTAAGTAGAACATTGGAAGTTTCTTATTTTAACACAGTAGGATAGATCATCGACTACTCTATCGAACCATATAGTTTTCATTCTATTTTCTCTGGTCCTACACCAAAAATTGATAGATCTCAAACGAGTATGAAAAAAAATTTTTGCAGATAGTTTACGTTATTTTTAATAGTTTTATTCTACATATATATAAACAAAAAAACAGTACAATTATAGACGATGTTCGACATGACAGCCACGAGCATTATATATCTTCAAAATTCTTTTCGGCCAAGAAGCTAATACTTTATCAATATAGGTTTGATTCATTTTTCTCGATTCAATCAAAAGTTTTTTTTAAAGTTCATCAAGAGATTTAGTATCTGTTCTATTTAGTCGTTGTTTTAAATATCCCCATATAGCATAATCCATTGGTGCAGCATCAGGACTAGCCGGCATCCATTCTTCTGGTTTGATATAATTAATTTTATTTTCATTCAAATATTGAATTGTCTCTTTGAAAGTATGACTTGGTGCTGAGTCTTGATGAAAATACCATTTTCTTTTTTGTTTTTTTGAAAACAAACGTGGTACATCTCGAGTTAAAAATGGTTTCAAAACCTTGTTAATATAATAATTCGAATTAACTTTTGTACCAGGTGCAACTAAACGAAGTGTTGTTTTACCTTGAGTTGATACACCTCCCCATACCATAAAACCTTTTGGTCGAGAAGTATTTTGTTGAATAATCATTCGATTGTAGTCAGGATCAGTTTTTTTTATATAACATACTTTTCGTTTACCACTACTTGCATCTAAATGAAACCAAGCTTCATCTGTTGTAATGAACCTTTTGTATCGTTGATGTGCTAATCGACGATAAAGTTGACATGATCGTTCTCGACGTTTTATAATATTTGATGAAGTTAATTTGTGAACTTTTCTTTTTTTTCGAAGAATAAATCCTGAATTTTTGATGATGTTCGAAACAGTAGATTGTCTAATACGAAGAGATTTAGCAATAGCACGTTGGGTTGGTGGATCTTCAACATCAATTTTCTTGATGACTTTGTTAACAATAGATGTTGTTTGTGATGGTTTTTTTCGATAAATTTTAATTTTCGATTCAGAATTTCTTTGACGACCGATCTTTCGCTTGACATTTGACACAGTAGGTTGAGATATATGTATTCCATCGACTTTCAAAATATGGATAATTCGAGGTTGAGAGTATCCTTGTTGTAAAA